TGTGGGACCCAAGTAGCGTTGAAGCCTCAGACTGCAGGCTGCTGGACATCGACTAAAATGTGAAGGATGGGAGTTTGGAAAACACGGTCTGAAATGGGGAAAGGGACAGTCGGTTTTGTGAATGAAAAGTGGAAAAATTCGGAAGAACTGCTAAGTAAAATCCGAAAACGTCCGAGTGCAGTTTGGGGGTTATGGTAAGGGGTCCAACAAATAGGCGGCGGGGAGGGGGATGGGATACGAAATCCTCGGCCCGGCTTTTGGCTTGGCCCTGACGGTTTTGATTTTACCTCGATGTTTCTTTGCGCAAAATAAAGTAATTTTTTAGGAAAAAGCCATTTTTCTGCTTTCCGGCCGATTTTGTAGAATTTATGAGCTTCTCCCTGATTTTGCAAGAACGATATTTTCCTCGCAACCATTTTTTTATATAGCTCTTACGATTCTTATAAACCCCCCACAACGACAATTTTACTAATCCCCGCCTCTTTTACTAAATCAACTTGCTGTCTTTGTTAGTGTTTGATAGTTTTTTTCAATACGGGGCCGCATTCCGGGCGCTACACGGCACAACCGACTTGCTGTGCGCATAGAACCTTTTGGCAAAACAGCATCAGATTGAATAAGAATTGGCCAAACTTCTTGGAGGAGCTTGCATCACCTTGGTATCCAGTCAAAATAAGGTTGACAATGGCCATGGAGCTATTTTTTAAAATGACCGCTCGGGCTTTAGGTGTATAGTTGTTGCTTTTGATAGTTTTTCTAGTTCTTCGTCTCTTCCAGAATTTTTTGTATTTCACGTTCCGTCACGTTTTCTAACCCTCACTAAGATGCCGTGCGAGCTCACCGTCGAGGCTCGGAAGGCCCTCCAAGAGGAGGTGACCGCTCTGGGCAACGAGATTCGCGGTCTCAAAGAGCAGAAGGCGAACCCTGACCTGGTATGTATTACGTATTTCAGTGAGCGAGACCCTCGGCCCGCCTACCGGCTCTCGGAGGCGCTCGATGCAGCGCATCTTTTTGCGCTTATGTACCGGTTCTGCCACGGTACGGCCGGTCCCATTGGGAAAAGCCTACGCGGAGCGCGGCGGACGAAGGGTCAGCTCGCAGTCTGGCGAAAGTACTTATTGATGTTGTTTTTTAGGTGAAGGAGCGTGTGGCCAAAATGTTAGCCCTCAAGAAGCAACTAGGAGACGAAGGAAAGCCGGGCAAATTTGTGCTGAAGTGCCCGAAAGGTATTTTAGCATTTTCGGGTCATTTATTTGTGTTTTTAGGAACCCGGGACTATGGGCCGAAAGAGATGGCCGTTCGTGAGGCTGTTTTCTCGACCATCGTAGATGCTTTTAAGGTAATGCTTTCACTATACCCCCAAAATTTCATTTAGCGTCACGGTGCGGAAACAATCGATACCCCTGGTTTTTGAACTCCGAGAAGTGCTGAACTCAAAGTACGGAGAAGACGGTACTCGCCATTTTAATGCTATGGAACGGCTTTACAGGCGGGAAACTGATTTACGACCTGGAAGACCAGGGCGGCGAGCTGCTGAGCATGCGTTATGACCTGACGGTGCCTTTTGCCCGGTATTTGGCGATGAACAAAATCCGGAATATTAAACGGTATATCCATAAGTCTTCACAATCACGGGTCCGATATAGATACCACATCGCCAAGGTCTATAGACGGGATCAGCCGGTGATGACGCGCGGAAGATATCGTGAATTTTATCAGTGTGTAGGTGCTTCAATTTGGATAGCATTATATTTTTGCAGGACTTTGATATCGCCGGCGAATATGAGAAGATGCTGCCCGAGGCGGAATGCCTGAAAGTCGTTGATGAGGTTTTGGCAAAATTGGACGTCGGAAATTTCCGAATCAAGGTGAGCTTGGCTCAGCAGTCCATGAAAATCTTTTGTCAGGTAAACCACCGCCTACTTCTCGATGCGATGATTGGGGCTAGCGGCGTGCCCGAGGCTAACTTCAAGACCGTCTGCTCTTCCATCGATAAACTTGACAAGGAGCCGTGGGAGAAAGTGCAAAAGGAGTTGATCGACGAAAAAGGAATGTCCCTCGAGCAAACGGAGACGCTGCGAAGTTTTGTGCTTTTCCGCGAGGATGTTGGAGGTATTTTTTCGTCGTTTTTCGCAAAAAACGCTTCAGGCCTTACTGATATTGAAACGTTGCAAAAGATGGCGGCCTTGGAAAAGTTGCAGAATACTGCTTTCCAAAAAGGAGCCGATGAATTAAAGGTCCGATTTTTTATCATATAAACATCGATATTTCAGGATCTTTTCAAATATTTGGCACTCTATGGCGCGACATCTGTCCAGTTTGACCCCTCGTTGGCGAGAGGTCTCGACTATTATACGGGTGTTATCTATGAGGCCGTCGTTGAACCAAGTAAATCGCTTCTCTATTCCGACTTTTTTATTGTCTAGGTGAGGAAGTCCGGAAAGTGATTGCCGAGCGCGCTGCCACGGAGAAGAAGGAATCTGGTGAAGCCACCGATGGTCAACCATTGCCCGCTGGTGTAGGATCTGTCGCCGCTGGCGGAAGGTATCGTAGATCCTCAATTTTTGTAAATTTTTTCAGGTACGATGAATTGGTCAAGAGCTTCTCAGGCGGGAAACTGTCTGTCCCTTGCTGCGGGGTATCGTTTGGTATTGAGCGCCTATTTGCGATTCGCGAGGCTCAACTAAAGGTAATACTCGTGTTTGGTGTCTCATTTTCTGTTTCAGCTGAAAGATGTCCCGGCTCGTACGAATTCCACAGAGGTCTTTGTCGCGTCTGCGCAGAATGACATGCTGGAAGAGCGGATGAAGCTGTTGCGGCTGCTTTGGGATAATGGCATCAAGGTGTGTTTCTAGTTTTCAGCATCTTACCGATTTTTATAGGCGGAAATGGCGTACAAAAAGAACCCAAAGCTTCTGAATCAGTGCCAGTATTGTGAAGGCAACCAGATTCCGCTGATGTTGATTGTCGGTGGACAAGAAATCCAGGACGGTGTCGTCAAACTTCGGGTTGTGCAAAAGAAGCGGGAGGACGGGGAACGTGATGTGGTAAGCATCCTTTATTTTGATTTGATTTGTGTTTAGGATGTTCCACGGGATGGACTCATCGCTGCGATCAGGGATGCTCTGAAGAACCAATAAACTACTTGCCCTAATTCCGATGCTTTAATTTATCCGGTGCCGTTTAATAATAGCGGTCTTCCATTGTTGTCTGTTTGTTTCGTTTTTGATCACATAATAAAGTCTACTTTTATCGGCGGAACTTTCAATGATCCTGTTTTTTGGTTTCGGCCAACAGCTAAATATCGAGTTTTCCAGTATTTTTTCATGGGATTTCATTTTTTTTTTTTTTTTTTTTTTTTTTTTTTTTTTTAAAATTTTTAAAAAAAATTTTTAATTCTAAATTTTCTTTTTTTAATTTTTTTTTAAATAATTTTTCTTTTTTAAAATTTTATTTTTATAATTTTTATTTTCAAATTTATAAAAAAAAAATAAAAAACAAAAAAAAAAAAAAAAAAAAACCAAAAAAAAAAAAAAAAAAAAAAAAAAAAAAAAAAAAAAAAAAAAAAAAAAAAAATTTTTTTTTTTTATTTTTTTTTTTCTTTTATTTTTTTATTTTTTTTTATTTTTTAATTTGGGGGGGGGAAGGGGGGGGGGGGGGGGGGGGGGGGGGGGGGGGGGGGGGGAGGGGGGGGGGGGGGGGGGGCCCCCCCCCCCCCCTTTTTTTTTTTTTTTAATTTTTTTTTTTTTTAAACTCAATTTTTTTTATTTTTTTTTTTTTTAAAAATTTTTTTTAAATTTTTTTTTTTTTTTTTTTTTTTTTTTTTTTTTTTTTTTTTTTTTTTTTTTTTTTTTTTTTTTTTTTTTTTTTTAATTTTTTTTTTTTTTTAACTTTTTTTTGTTTTGGTGCTTCCATGACGCGAATTTATTTTAGCCGAGATGTCGATGTCAAAGAGCTCATACAACTACAATCGCAAAGGATGGGAAGATTCAGAGTTTCCGATCCTCTGCGAGACATGCCTGGGCCCGAATCCATATCTACGGATGGTCAGTGTGTTATTCTTTTGCCATTACACGCCATTTTAGCAAAAAGACACGTATGGCAAGGAATGTACGATTTGCGAGCGCCCCTTCACAAATTTCCGCTGGCAACCAGGAAAGGGCGCCCGATTCAAGATGACCGAAATCTGCCAGACGTGTGCAAAGATCAAGAACTGTTGCCAGACGTGCATGTTCGATCTGGAATTTGGTGAGATATTCGATTTTCTCTTTATTTTTGTAATTCAGGTCTCCCTATACAAGTCCGTGATCATGCTCTCAAAATCACCGATGACCTGCCGCGCCAAGGCGCCAATCGGTAAGGTCCTTCTTTGAATACCACCTCTCGTTTTAGGGATTTCTTTGTCCAAAATCAAGAACGCGCCTTGGCGGCTACAGATGGCACGACACCTGGCGGAGCTCTTGCTACGATCGGAGCTGATCATCCTGGAACCGAGATGCTCAAGTATGGTTTTGAATTAGATTTTTAAACTCGCAAATTTCAGACGTCTCCAGCGCACTGGGCCCTACTACAAGCGCAATGCCCCACACATTTGCTCTTTCTTCGTGAAAGGAGAATGTAAGCGTGGAGAGGAATGTCCTTATCGGTAGGCATTTTTGATTGCAGCTCGATTTACATGAATTTAGCCACGAGAAACCGACGGATCCCGATGATCCACTCAGCCAGCAAAACATGCGTGATCGCTACTACGGCAACAACGACCCAGTCGCCGAAAAGATCTTGAATCGTGCAACAGTATGTTTTTTGTGTGAGGAGGTATAATTCGAATTAAGGCGTTGCCTTCACTACATCCTCCAGAAGATACTACCATCACGACGCTCTACGTGGGCAACCTCGGCCCTGCCGGTGTTATTACTGAAAAGGATCTCAAGTTCGTATTATTCGTTTTTCAAAACGGATTTTAGTGACTATTTCTACCAATACGGGGACATCCGGCAACTGTCTTTGCTGCCGGCCAAAGGTTGTGCTTTTGTCAACTACACTACGCGTGAATCAGCCGAAATGGCTGCCGAGAGGTTGGAGCTTTTCTTTTTTCGGTAATATTGTGTATAGATCTTTCAACCGAGCCTACGTGAAAAGCCGAAAATTGACGATCCGTTGGGGTGCGCCATATGCGCAACGCCAGGGCGGCAACGACTATCGCGTCAACCCGGTGCCAAATCTCCCGACCGGTATGCCTTGGATATTCAGCCTCATCGAAACCTTTTTCAGCCTTGCCGATTCCGGATGAATTGATCCCGAATAAGCGTGGGCATGCTGCTGCACAAGGCGCGGGCCCATCAACTGGTCCACCGCTGAAAGTGCCACGGGTTGTCCCGACGCTCAGCAGCTACGATGCCTCTGGGCCCGCCGGAAGCTCCTCCATCTACTACCCCAGCCAGGATCCGCAGCGTCTCGGAGCCAAGGGCGACGTCGTGGAATGAAGTACTGTTTCAATCGTTGTTTTTATATTTCTTCCTTGCTACTGATCTTACCTTCCGTCAATTTTCCCTTTGCAGCGTTTCTTTGCTGACAAAATTCGTTGTTTTACTGGCGAAAGGCGCTTGGCCGATAAATTCTGTTTTCACTGCAAGGCAAGGCACTATGATGGGTGTACACAAACAAACAGACATTTTGTCGAAAACGACCATTTGATGTGTTCACGGGGTTGCGTCACGTGACGGTCGCTGGAGCTCGGGGCGGTTTTGCATAAAATTTCGCGGACAGCGATGGCTTTTGAACCCAGGACCATGTTAGGTTCTCGAAGAGCACTGTACCCCGCTACATTTGGTGCGAAGTTTAGTTTGTTTGCAAATGGAAATGCCAGGCTCTTGTCGGACACTCGTATCGAATTGCAACGCCCTTGCCCCTACCCGTCATTGGGGAGTGCCTGGCTACTTTTTCACCCAAAACGTTGAGGCTTCTGGGTGCATCGTTAGGGTCCAGTCTCTCGAGGGTCATATGTCTTTACTAGATAGCTTTCTTGCTCTTTTCGGTGCTTTTCAAATAGGCGCGGGGGGAAACCGAACTTTTTTCCGCCCAAGCCTATATTTTTTTATATAAATAGTGGAAGTGTTTCTAAGTTGTTTATAGCTATTCCTAAACATAAAAACTTTACAAAACTTAATTAAAAAATTTAATTTTAGGTCGAAAAATCAATTTTTTCGGCCCAAAAATGACCAAATTTTCGACTTTTTCAAGCGTTTTAAAAAGTTTTTCCGATTCAAATAGGCTTAAATTTTGCTAAAAAGATTGTGAAAACACTTTATATTTGATTACTATCCCCACCAGGGCCGGTAAAAAAAAAGTTGGCCCCCCGCCTAAATCTCCCCCCCCCCTATTTGAAAAGCACCCTCTTTTCTATTAACTTCGATACTATCTGAAACAACGTTGCCCACAGTGAGGGCGTCTGATAATGTCGGCTAATTTGTGCCGCGGCACATTTGAGCTGCTCGAAAATTTACATTTTCCAGATGTTGTTGCTTTGGGTCTAATCTCCCGCTTGCCCCTATTGCTGGCCCCGGCAAATAATTGGCCAATCTTGGTGCCCACCCTCGTTTCCGGCCCTCATTCTTCCGTTTCAAGGGTTTGGGGACGGGCCACGTGGCCCTGATATTGCCCACGGCTATTCTCAGGTTCCTTGTTTTTGTTGACAAACTCTAGGCAAATGTTCAAATAACTATGCTCGGCTTATAGGGGGAATTAAAGTGGATTCGGCCTGAGTGAAGTCTGCCCCCGCCCATATCCTCAGCGATACGTCCTATTAATGTGCCGAAAATCTCCAAATGTTTGCGATAGTCAAAAACGTTTCGCAAAGTTGTTTTCTTACCTAAAAAGTTGCTAGAACGTTTTTGCAAGGTTTTAAAAGTCGAAAAGAAGCCGCGGTGGTGCCGTTTACCCAGGTTTCAAACGCAAATATTCACATTATTGGCAATTTTTCGAATAGAATGTGCTGTATTCTTACTATCCAGATCAAGGGCTACATTTCGGTATGCTTCCGAGTTCTTCAGGTCAATTGGGAGCCGTGATCGAAATTTGGGCCATTTAGCAGTGTCCAATTACTTAGTTGTTCAACCTTAAAAATCTTGTAAAATAATTCTAGGAATTTTTGCATCAAGGAAACAAGTTTTCCTTAGATTTTCGACCATGGCCAACATTTTGAGATGCTCGGCGCTGAATAGGACTTATGGCTGGGGAGGGGGAAGCTGCGCTGTTCCTGTGTATTTTGTGAAGTTTTCACATGACTCCTTCCAGCCCAACCATCAATCGAACAACTGCCAGTTTAGCTTTTTGAACTCAAAACACGGCCACTCTTCTCCCCCCTGCCATAACGCCTGATCCCGCCTAATTGGGCCGGCCGATTCTCCCTTGGTCCATTTCGGCTACTTTCACTCTCTTTCTCCCGGAAGCCATTGTGGTGGGTGTGGGTTGGTCGACACATTTAATCCGACTTACTTGGAAATTCTTACATGGTTCCAGTCTCTAGCTCTGACTCGACAGAGTTTGGTAATTTTGTTCGCTGGCTTGCTACCCACTAGCAATTGTTTTTTTGCCCCGAGATTTATGGCAGTCGTTACCGGCTTACAGGAGGTCCCATTAAAAAGGTCACGCCAACATTTGTCCAGTTTCGGAAGGATCGGTTTGAAATTTTGCACATTATAGCACTCAGCACATTACACTCTAGCTTTCAAGATTGCTAAAATAAGATTTGCTGCCATGATGTCGAAAACGAAAATCACTATGTCGAAATTGTATTGCATAGCATCCAGGGGTTTTTCGGGAAATTAGCTTATGTAAATTTCGACATCAAGATTTTCGACCTTTTGAAAGTAACCCCTAAAATATGCCGAATTTATATTGCCCTTTTACTAGCCTTTTCGCGGGTAATCGGCTGCCGGATGTCTGGGCTGGGATTCATATCAAATTTACACGTGTAAAAATGGGCAAAAATTTACACACGTGTAAATTTTTTACACGTCTGATTTACACGTGTGTAAATGAATTTACACGCGTGTAAGTGGATTTACACGCGTAATTGTGCAATTTTAGAGGATTTTGGCGGCTAAAAAAGCTTTTACACGCGTGTAAAAATATTTACACGCGTGTATTTTGGGGATTTTGCGCGGGATTTTGAAAAAAGGCGAATAGAACATAGAATAAAGAGAAGAAGGTATAAAAATGCAACTTGGCAACTTTTTCTTCAAGGTTGTAGGAGTCGGCGGACGAGTTAGTGTTTTTTGCGTCGGCGGACGGTTTTTGTGATGGTCCTCAGCCAGCCCAAGATCACTAAAAGTGCTCCAGGGCGCTTCGATTAGAGCATTTCTAACCTCCTTCTAACGGTATACTTAATGTTATACATAATGAATCCATCTCGCTTGACACTGCGTATTTTGGAGTGCCAACGACACCATGCGAACGAGCGAAAAAAGTTTCATTGGCTCAACGAGGGACAGGGCAAGTGGCAGAGCTAGACTGCTATTTCCTTCCCAAAAAAGTCTCCGAAGTGGTCCTTCGCCTTTAACAACCTCGAATAAATGTCGTCAAGCAACGCCCCAAATGAGTTAGGAGCTGTTTGGTGACGTTATTTGAAAATAGTTGGAAAATGATGTCTGCGCTGATCAAAGTAGATCCAAGGGCATATTGCAGTGTAGAAAACGTGGTTTTGGAAATATTAGAACAATGAATTCTAAGGTTGGTAAGGGCAAAATAATTGCCTAAAATTTTACACGCGTGTAAATTTATACCTAAGAAATTTACACATGGAACAGACGTGTTTTTGACCCGAAAAACATGCTTTAGAAAAACCTTTATTAAAAAAATTCGAAGGCACTTGGGAGTCCAAATTTTTTTCGACTAACTGTCTAGACCCGTCGCCATCTAGTATCGCTTCAAGTTTTACGCAAGGATGGTTTTCCGATTTTCTGAAGGGTTTCAAAGTTCGCGTGTAAATTTCGGCCGCTCGCGTGTAAATTTTTCGGTTTTTTGCTCAACTTTCGCGAAGGCCATGTTTTTTTACACACGTGTAAAAAAATTTACACGCGTGTCAAAAAATGGTAAATATTTACACGTGTGTTTTTCGTCTCTTAACAAATTTGTTAACAAAAACGTCGAAATTTACACGCGTGTAAAAAATTTTTACACATGTGTAAATATTTTACACACGTGTAAAATATTTACACGCGTGTAAAAATTTCTGGCGTGTAAATTTGATATGAATCCCAGCCCTGATGTAGATAAAGCGCCACCCCAGGAAAAATTTCCTAACAACGCTGAAAAAGCCTCCACCAATTTCGCGAAGAAAAGAATCGAAATTGATGCGAAGACGCAAAATGTCTCCCCATTTCGCATTTGGGAAAACAGCTCCACAATAGCCGGATGCGAGCACGACTTTTCTACTGGCGTTTCCGAAAACCCTATATGGCAATTTCGGAGAGCCGACCTCTTTTTTTCTTTTCCCCTTTTTCCCTTTCCGAGCCACAATTAAATAATTTCCTGTAATTGACGGCACTTCACAGCGTCCCCTTCTAGTCTATCAGCTTCAAACGGCGACATCAGTGGATGGTTGATCCGTCGTGGGTGCGTGGCGTGACGCACTGGATCGAAATCAGCCTCTGCCTCGTCACGCTCATCTTCAACCTATCCCTCATCTGTCTCATCCTGACGACAAAATCCAAGGTTTTGCATGGATATAAGTAAGTAATGAAATGGATAAAAATATAAATGAAACAAGTAAATTAATGCAAGTAATTTTTGACACCCTTACGACATTCGATCTCTAGATATCTTCTGCTCCTGTTCTCGCTATGTGAACTCGGCTTTTCCATTACGCATATGCTCATGGAACCGGTGAGTAACTGATCTTTACAGGGTGTCTCAAAAAAAAAGACCCCCTCTAGCGGTCCGCAGTCGTGTCCGATTTTTACGATTTAAGTATCTATCGAAAGCTCTCGACGAGCTGAGGAGAAATGTTCTCTCCGATTTTTGAAATTCCCGAATTTTTATAACATTTACGAACATTTTTGCGACATTGGCAGAATTTTCGATGTTTTTTCCCATGCAATGTTTTTGAAAAAATCCCATCTTTCAAATTTTTAAATCTTTCCTGGCCGCCCAAGTTTGGCTTTTTGAAAGGCATTTGAGAACATAGCTTGGATGGGACTGAAGCCGATTAAATTGAGTTTTTGCACAAAATTGCGTAATTTAGGCCCAAAACTATAAAAATCTGGTTAAAATTGGGAAATTTCACAAATCGGAAGGAAAAACCTCAGCTCGTCGAGAGTATTCGGTAGATACCTAAATCGTAAAAGTCGGACACGACAGCGGACCGCTAGAGGGGTCTTTTTTTGGGACACCCTGACGAGATTTTTGAGTATGGGTGAAATTGAAACAACTAGCTATTCAGATCCTACTCGTGATCGGCAACTGGGTCGTATTTTTCGGCTATGGTGCGATGGGAGCCCATCCTGCCGGACCGCCGCTAATGTTTTTATGGATATCTTTTCTATCCCAGGTTAGTTCTAGCTTAGGGTCATTTGTCGCTCTAAATATTCTCGAAAAACTTTAATCTTTATTAACACTCATTTCAAATCAATAAATTCGAGGTTTCCAATTATAACGATTCCTTCAGATCGTCCTTTGCCTCACCCTACACTTCGTCTATCGCTATGTAATGGTCGTCAAGTAAGGCTAATTCAAAGGTTCTTTTGCATTACGGAGGGGGGGGGGTAAATAAGTAGTATTAAAGTATCAGGTTGGATAATAAGTTCTGTCACAATTTTTTGAAATCGCTTGTTCAAATCACAGATGTTGCCAATTTTGGAGTTTGAGATATGGTTCGATAGGTCTCGCAGCCGTCTATTCTGGGAAGACCATCAACTGACCCAAAAGCTGATGGGTTTCGAGATACAGGCCCGAGAAATTTTTCGCAAAATCATACGAAACGGATTTTGCAAGTTATCTCTGCATAGAGCAATTTGCATGCGATACCTTTAATGTCAATCGATAGCTCTCGAAGAGTAGAGATTGATAGATGTTGAGATCATCAAAATCGGACATCGGATGGCCGAGCTATGGTACCCGGAAATTTGGCCCGTTTCTTAGAACTTTTCTCGAAATCCCATACATTTGTTCAAAATGCTCCCGGTACTTTCAAAAATCAAGCGATCAGTTTTGGCTCCGGTTGATCAAATGTATGGGAATATCAAATGTACGTAAGTAGTAAGTCCCTAAAGACTACGTAAAACAATCGAAATTTTGACCAAAATTTAGAATTTTAAAATTCAGAATTTTTTCGCAGTACAGTTTTAGTCAAAACACTACTGAAATACTGTTCAAAGCAAAATAGGGAATTTTAGAACGGAGTGGGCATTCTTATTCAAATCATGGCATCTGCTTTTCCTGCTATTCTCGCTGTACGCCGGCTTCTCGCTGGCTCTTTTCGTGATTCCGGTTTTGTATTCGAGCCCTGGCAAACAGCTGGTACCCCAACTTGGTACGTTTGGGAACGAAATGGAATCCAGAAAATTGTTTTTAGTTGATTAACACAACTTTTCAGCCGAGCGCCTCGCCTCAATGGGGTTGTCGCAGCAGGACGTGACAGTACTTGGCGCGCCAATTAGCGTAAGTAATGGATAGAGTGCAGTTTACCTGCCACCCAGCCGGCACCCGACTTTTGTACCTCGGCCGCCTGTTCATCTATAGGTGTGTAAAGTATACTAAAATGTTTGTCTTGCTCTGGCGAGTATTTTGGTATACTTTACATACCAGTAGATGAACAGGGAGCCGAGATACGGTAGGCGGGGCCGGCTGGGGGGGAGTAAAGACCTAAGTAATGCTTCAGAAATATTACGGCGCTTTTCAGAAAGCTACCATAGATGGCGATCGCGAGTACAACACCTTTTTCTTGGGCCTCGCCGCCACGGCGCTGGCCGTCAATGTCGGCGCGTTTGCGACGATTTTGTATTGCGGCACCGGGATTCACAAATTTTTAAAGGTACCAGAAATTTCCAGCAAATTATATAGCATGGTCGAGCGACGCAATTTTTTTAGATGGCCGTAATTTCTGAAAGGACGCGCCGGCAGCAGCGCCAATTGTTTAGAGCATTAGTCGTACAGGTGTGCCCCGAAATTTCATCTTGGCATCAACTTTAATTCCAGACCACCGTCCCAATGGTGTGCATTTTCATTCCAGCAATCGTTTTTGCGCTCGGCTCAGTGTTTGAGGTAAGCTAAAGGCTACGGTTTACTTTACCCCCCAGCCGGAAGTTTTTGGCTATAACTTTTTTATTTTACATTATTGTAGGCTCAAATTAAAACTTTTAGTATATTTTTCGACGCTCTATCGAATGACGTTGCAAAAATCCCGACAAAATAAGCGAAAATACCGAAAACTTTGAGACCCTTCGGCTGTGGGGGGGATAAAGTAAACTCTTACCAAGCTAAATAACCCGAATCACTCTTGC